ATGATATTAAAAACAAAGACCAATGGGAAAACTTCATATTCCGTGTTAAAAATAATTTATACATGAGAAAACAAATAACATATAATTCAGAATTTAGAGAATTTAAAAAACAATTAGCAGAAACTGCAATAATAAAAGTGTAACAAAAAATTCTCTATTATTAGATATAATTATATTTACCTAATGTAGGAAAGTAAGTCGGCCTACGCATCTGTCATATTTAATTTTTTTGGCTAAAGATATATAATACATAAAATATTACTATGGAAGTAAAAATAGTCAAAACTAAAGTAGGAAAGCAAAAAGTTAATTGTTATCTCGAACCAGGATTTCATGGTCTATCGATATGTAGTGACAAGTTTCTTAAGAAAATCAGTAGGAAAATTAGCAGAAAGTTGACTCCTGAAGATAAAGATAGTAAATTCTTCAGAGAGATGACTACACACCTGATTGGATGGGATATAATCCCACTCACATTTACCTCTAACATAAAAAATAATGCTCGTTTTAATAATAAAAAATCCATTGCCATACCAACTGAAGTACTCGTAGTAAAATATAGCTCTAAATTACCTAATTATATATTGTTTGATAATATCTGATTTTATGGTCAAAAATATGATGATGAACTCCAAACATATATACCTGAAATTGTAACTGACACAGAGGATGCCTAGGTAAGAATTACATTACGTATTAAAAATCTTGCTGAGAAGAAAGGGAGGAGGGTTATAGTGCGTGTTACTGAAAATAATGTTGATGAATTCTTCGAATTCACTTCTTCTAACTCTGATGATACAGAGCATCGAACCTTTAATTCTTCTGATACCTCAGATACGAGTGGTTCTTCCATATCTAGTTCAGAATCAGATAATAAGCACATGTGTAAGGTTGTTATACATCCGAAATGATGTTACAGAGTAAAAAAGAAAAAATAATTATGTGTCTTGACACTAGCTTCGCTATCGAGTTATATAAAGTGATACCACATGATAATTTTTCATTTAACAAATTATATTAACCTAATGTAGGAAAACAAGTCAGCCTACCCATCTGTCATATTTAATTTTTTCAACTGGCTCTATCGATTAAACAAAGATAAACATTTTTTTTTGGCTATATATATCATTCAAAAATGGAATGTAATAAAAAACGATCAACTAATATTAAACTACATAAAGATATCCCCATTATGATCGATGAAATAGGATTACATATAAATCTTATTTATTTGAGATTAAAAGCAGTCAAGTCTGAGCTAGGAGATAGAAAGGTAAAATGTAAGTGTAAATTACCAAAATTTGAGACTGATAATAGTGATACATCAGATTCAAATTGTTCCGATATTTTATCCAATGTTGTTTCAGTAAAAAAGATACATGAATCTAAAAACTTCGACTTTATCCATTCTAAACCTAAAAAGAAGCGAAATAAGAACAAGGTATATAATTATACAAAGGTACGTAAAGTAGCCTCGACACATAAATTGATTGTATAATAAACCGCGATCACGATATTCTGATTTTTATTGCATGTATTTGGACATACTTTACAGGTTGAATTCACATGTTTTTTGTGTGACTTAATTTCTCACATATACTCTGATTCGGTATTTTTTATTAATTTTAATATTTTTCACCGATCCTAAATTCAACTTTTCTATATATTAATTCTGCTATAATAAAAACCTTATCTTTCCTTGTGCCATTTCGGATATAATTCCAATTCGAGTTGAAGTAATTTTCGAGTGATATGTGAGCAGGTATATAGGTGATATGAGGTGAGAAAAGATGGGTGTTTTCAGAAACTTATAT